GCGTTTTAATCAAGTAAGAGTTTCAGCTGCTTTATACTGATATTTGCACAATAGAGTATTACAGTTAAAATGTCATTTGAAATGAGTGGATTCAAGGGCGCACAGCAGCACATTCCCACTGCAAAAATGATCTTGAACCAGAATGCACCGAGCGCCTGTTTGTGCTGGCGTGTATCAGTCAGCGGCAGAGCCTCTCCTACGAGTCTCTGCATGGAGACTTTTTGGAACAAAGAGGTGAGGATGTTAATAAAAGCTGGATCAACAAATGGATTAGTTGGGAGCTGAGGACAGGCTGATCGGCGGGCCCTCTGATTCATATTGATTCATATCGCCAACGAGGCAAGGATGGAGTAAGCAAATGTAAATATTCAATATTTACCATCTGCTGGTGTTATTAGAGGCAGGGGCTTGGACATGGGCTGACGGTTATCATGCAGCCACACAGCTCTCATTCAATATTGTTCCTCATGCCATGTATTGCACTTGGTGACTATGCAGGCATTTGTAGATCAGGATCCCATTTGTTTGAATCTATTGGCTTCAGCATACACACCCTCAAACAGAGGACTCGCAATGGACCCCAACAATAAGCCTTGTGTTGAACGAGCAAATCTCTTTTTTTCGCCATACGCTCGAATAAATAAACACCCTTTAAAAGTTTACATAATTCCTATGCCGCCATGGGAGAATATACTGATAATATTAGCGCTCCTGATGAGTCCGAGTTGAATTATTTCAAGGAAAAGCATGACTGAGTCTTTGCCAACCTTATCTCCTCGCCAGTACGTAATTAGGTACACAGGGGTGTGACTCCAATTGAAGGTGTCGCCATTGTTAGACTGTGAAAATATCAACGGGTGAGGTTAATGCCAATTTCCCTGTCATTAATGAAATGCACAGAGCTCCTAATGAGGTAAACCATTGCTCCTTGATAGTACTTATTAGCCGAGTGGGGGGCACAAATTCCCACACTTCAATTTCAAACGGCTAAAAATAAATTAAATACAAAAAAAAAAACTTATAATAAAAAAAATAAAAAAAACACGGAGCAGATGTCAAGGGGGCCTTACATAATTTGAGGCAGGAAAACTGTCTTGTTGACTTGAACGAGCAGAATGAAAAGATTCGCTGGTGTGAGAAAAATCAGGAAGAAGAAAGAGACAGAAGAAATGTGTTAAAGTGTACATATGTGTGTGTGTGTTTGAGCGTGGTGTCACTGTGAAACTGTTTGTGTGTGCGCATATGTGTACAAGTGTGACCTTTTCCAAATCACTGACAACAGAAATAGACAGCTCTACAAATCAATAAGGTAAATTAGCGTTGAAGAGTGGAAATGACAGGCGGTTAAAATTAGCTGTCTGTGTAACCCACTAGTCAGGGCTGACACGTCTTTCAAATCTTAAATAACCTCTGGATTTCCTCGTGTTAACAACACTATGGATCTTGTGTAGCAAAGCAGACAGATCAAAAACGGCCTCCAATTTGTCATGCCACCATGTAACCCTTGGAGATGCTCGCGATATTACTTGATGGACAATATGCATCAAATGTTTTTTTTTTTTTTAAACCAGACTTGGAAATGTCCTGTGGATGAAACTTCTCTGTCTCTGTTTTCTTGTGTCTATGTGACGCTTAGCTTCCTGGGGACTGGCTTGTCCGGCTTTAAGATTCCAATGACAGGTCCGAGGATTGCGTTGGCAAATCAAACACACTTTGTGGAACAGAGGAAATCTTCTTTTCGGAGGAGCATGTATTATGGATGGACTTAAGAGATTAGACGGGGAGCTGCTTTACCTGCAGTGGACGCTGCTTGTCCTGACTCTTTGGAGATTTCAGGCCACTGCCTGGCTGCTGCAAGAGTAATTGCCTCGCTGCTTGTAGGGCCTGCGAAGAAAAGAACACAATACAAAAGAGGGTGTGAGGAAAAAAAATAAGAAAGATGGGGAGGAAGGAAGAGGACAGCGAAAACAAACTACTCGATTTTCTGAAGCCGACAGCGCGGATAGTTCAAATTTTTACGGACAAAACAGTTGTCGCTCACTGAGAACGCTGTCAGACATCACCTGGTTCATTCTGACGTGGTTAACACAACGCAGGAGGTATGTTTTAGTAACAATTCACAGAGCTGTGATCAAGGATAAATACAGTTTGTCTAGAGCACCCCTGAAGAAGAGGGTGGAGGGGGTGGTGGGCAGGAGGAAAAAAAAAAAATAAAAAGGCAGAGTAGAATTGACCTGTCTAGTGTGTGCTCAACTGAAATACCCACTTCTCTCTGCAAATTACCGCCACATTTGCATATTCATAATATCAATTTGAAGTAGAGGCAGCACCATGTGAAGTGTCCCTGGGAGCTGTAATTAAAGTTGACAAAATCAACATCAGATTACATTTAGAGTGAATTAACTAGCAGCCCAGGTTTTACACTATGCATTAAGGGTGCTTATGCGCAGGGGGACGGGTGATGGATAGAAAGATGAATAGATTGGTAGAGAAAGAGAGACCTTTCCCCGCCTGATGAAATTAGTTCACAGCTGTTTACACATGACACGAAAAATTAGAAAAATCGCGTTTGTAAAATCGTAAAAATTTGTCATCAACACCCTTTGATGTGTTTGCCAGACATCGATATGATAAGAATCAGAGAGTCGGGGATGTGGTGTAATTTATTTCTCTAGGGTTTGACGGGATTGCAAAAGCCCCCCTCCTCATCTTTCCCCGCCTGGTTGTGTGTACTGAATGTGTGTGACGAGCGAGCTCCAGCTTCACAGGTACGGTGGCAGCTGGGCTAGCAGCTTCACTCCAATTCTTCAAGAGCAGATGGATGAAAGAGTCTGGCAGAAAAGAACATTGTGCACAGCTGCTACTACTGCTGCTGCTGCTGCTCCACACAACTGTATGCCTTGTATTGTTCGGGGCCCACGAGCATCAAGTGGGAGTGGAGGAGGGAGGAAAAAAAAAAAAAAACAGAAAAAAAAAAAACAAGTGTGCTCACACACAACACAACAACTTCACAGGTGTTTCGTTTTTGATGAAAAAAGAAGAGGACGAGTAGGAGGAGAAGCAAGAAATAAGTTAAAAAAAAAATGGAGAGTGACACTTCCTCAGGAATCGGGGGGGTGCTCATTTTATTTTCTGGTGCTTGCCAGTATCCATGACAACAGCTGCCTTGACAGGGCGTGCATATGGCGCAGCTCTGCCAGCTGGTGGGAACAATGTTTGAACTAGTACATTGAGATCCTGTGCAAACAAGAGGAGAAGACAGGAGGGAGAGAGAGAGAGAGGCAGGCAAAAAATGAGAGAGAGAGAGAGAGAGAGAGAGAGAGGGAGAGAGAGAGAAAGTTGCCACGTCTTAACCCCTCAGGGAACGCAGCCACCCCCCTGATCAATTATGAAAAGACAGAACTGGAGGGGGAAGAGATGGAGGTGGTGCTGGGGTGGGGGTCTGTCTGGCTGCTCAGGAGGAGCCAGGCTTTCTGAACTAAAGTAAACAAACACATTACACTGGCACTGAGTCCTAACTGCATTGATCTGTCTCCTTGGTAAGGGGAGCCCAGTCGCCACTGGTTTATATATATGTGTGTGTGTGTGTGTGTGTGTGTGCTGTGACATCTGTAAGCTGAGCCTTCCTTCAGAACACACACTAAAGTCAACACCTGCACTTGCATGCACATGAAGTTTAGCTGTTTGTGAGTAAAATGGATGGGCAATCAAACATCGCTTGACTTTCGCTTCCTTTCACCGAACGCAAAAGACAACACAAATTCCTTGAATGCAGCCAATCACTTTGCTAATTAAAACACAAGGCCTAATTAATCTCGCCATGATTGGTGAATCAAAGTAATTATAAGGCTTATTGAGTCCTGCACACAGTAGTTAGAAGGAAGGCTGCTTGATGAGTGCAGCTCAAGGTAGCTGTCAGGGGGAAATGTTTATCCATGTGTGAATCAATAATGACTTGCTGTGTTATACCCAAAGTCAAGAGAGCCACTCGATATATTACACACAGTCAAGAGTACAAAGGAGGAGATGGTTTTTGACTGCACTTTCAATATCCATGCCAAGTAAATATCGAGGGAGGTGCAGGCATGAGAGGTGGCGCAGAGAGGTGAAGCAGAGAGATCAACCACACCAGGCTTATTAGAAAAGATGTCTGCACAGACTGCATAAAGAGTGCTTCTCCAAACATAACACAGACCTTATCAACACCAGCCAAACTTTTCCAGAGTGGTTTGTCATGTCTGAAACTGTCTGTCACCTCCTCCATGGAAGTGGGGTTGGCCATTTCTGTCTGTGATGGTGTGGAAGGTAAGGGAGGAATAAAAGTCCTGTCCCCTCACTTTCACCGACTCTGAGTATTCAGCCATTACAGTAAAAAGCACCAATTTGTGCCACCCACTTCCCACTCCACACAGATGGTAAGCTAGAGCCCATCTCCAAGCACAAAAAAGCACCAAAAGCCAAGGAAAGTCATCAAAAGTTTGCTGAAGGGGCTGCTGGAGCGGACAAAAACACAGACGAGTGCAGACGCACCGTCTATTTAACCTGGGTTGCTATGCACGAAAAAATGACATCCCCAGTCTATTAATGCACACATTGTATAAACAGCACAATGTGATGCATTCTTCAGAATGAGCAAGCAAGCCAGACGGAGGGAGAGGGAGAGAAAGAGAAAAAGAGCCAGGCCCTGCTATATAAATAACAAGGCACTCAGAGGCATATTTGATGTTGATATCCATCACTGAGGTTGGAAAAGAGGAAAAAAAATAAGAGGAGGGAAAATAACACAGAGCAACCAAGACCGCGACACAGGGATCCTTATGAAAATAAGATTCAGCCCAAATGGATCTGGCGTAATTGGTTTCAGATAGTGAGGTCAGGAGAAAGGCGATACAGGCAACTATTATGCGAAACGGACTGAGAAACAAGAATGTTTACACAGGCATTCCTCTGCTACATTAATAGGCATGCAGAGATCACTGGAGAGGCAGAAAAGGAGAGAGTGAGAAGAGGCTGACAGAGAGAAAGAGAGAAAGAGAACTGAAAAAAAATATCAACCATCCATTCACCCCTCACCTCCCGCTATCCCCCTCTCTTCTAGCTCTACACAGAACTACAGTCCCATACAGAACAGGGTAATAAGCAACACCGATCACAATGCACCTTTGTGAGAAGCATGCAACGCTCTTAAACAAGCATGAAATACATTAGCAGGCTCCGCAATACCGGGCCAAACCATTACAAATCTCCAGATTGCTTATTGCGTGTGATGGTGGCGGCGGTGGTGGTGGTGGCGATGGGGGGTGCGAGAAAGAAATAAGCCATCCACTAAGAATGTCACTCTTTTCAAATCCACCTGGAGACTGCACGATATGCAGCCGTGACATTGGAATTGGATATATTTGAGAGGCTGTGACATTGTGTTTGGACAGTGCAGATCACTTCCTGGCTCGAGTCACGTTGGGAGTTGTTGTTATTAGGGGGCTATATAGCTGATATTGGAATGATGACACGGGTGTGAAATAAGTTGCCCTCAACAGGTATTTCGTCGCAGCACCGTCGTGGCGTCTGCAGGGTGTTTCCAGGGGGTAGCTACAAACACGGCTTATCAGTTAGTTGGTCGGTAAGAAATGAGGTTGCATCATGGCAACAGTCTTTCTGTGGTGTGCGGAACAGATGTTTTGTGTGTATGCATGCGTTTGTTGTAGGGAGTAAAGGGCTGCTGTTCAATGCTAGGCTGTCGGCCAGAACAGCTCCAGTCATGCTGACAGCTTTGACAACTCTCACATGCACACGCTCTTGATGCGTAAGCACAAAACACACACACACACGCACACACAAAAAACCCACACACACATACACAGTACTGCACCACCAGGCTTATCTATCTTCGCTTCCAGGAAACACAGACACAGAAGGAGGGAGGAAGGGAGGGAGCGAAAAAAGAAAAAGTGTGACTCTTTATCAAGCTGGAGGGAGTCGCATGCCACGGAAAACAAGGCACAAACAGTTTAAGCTGAACAAACAAACATGGCTGATTGGACTGAGGCTGCCGGCCCGCTGGCGGGGAAGATATGCGCTGACACTCCAACACCAAAATATTTACACCCTATCTTCTTATATAAGTGGATTCGGGGCAGATGGATGGATGGATACGGATTTGGAGGGGCTGGCTGGAGAGGATAGACAAATGAGAAGAGAAGGGGGAGAGGGATAAGATGTCCCACACAATGTCTGAATGCAAAAGTGGGAACTGAGTTTGTGAAAACAAGTAAACCGGAGAGCGCAGTCGGAGCAGAAGGGATGCAGCTGGGTGGTGTTGGGATTACAGAGACTCTCCTGAAGCAGAAGTTAAAAAATCACTTACAAATGTGTCTATTAAAGCAAAGAAAAATAAAAACCTGAGCTCCACTTCTCCGCTTGGTTTGTAAACAGTGAGTCAGAGATGCTGGGAGGGCAACTGTGATTCCTGAAGTCTGGGTGAGAATCCGTTGGGCTGTTTCGAAAAACTCGCTGGTATACTAAACGCATTTGCTACCACTTTTCAAGCCTGATGTGTGTAAGCTTACCAGTACAGGGATGCTATTGATTCCATTCACCTTAAGTAACTCATCCACAGGAGCAGAAAGACTGCTATCCTTTCATAAAGGTCAGAACTGGCGATGACGCTCCAGTGCCTCAACAATGGCTCCGGATTCAGTTCCCTTATCGCCTCCACAAAGCCCACACAGAGCACAAGATACACCTGGGTTCACTAAACTCTGCGTGGTTGGGAAGAAAATAACACACACACAAAAAAATGACCGCTTCTTTTGTGCAAATAGTAGGAGCATGAGGAGCTGATTTCTGGTGAGAAAATAAACTTGAGTCTTTCCTGTTTGACTAAA